CTCATTCTTGTACCTGGAGTGCTCCCTCAAGAAATAAGTCAAACTTTTCAACTCGTCTACTTTAAACTTTTCGAACATAAACCATGTGTACAAATTTGGCCATTTGTTCTTCCATTGGTATGCGAAGCTGCAATGGAGGGGCACGGTTTTCATCATTATGGTCACCAACCATCTCTTTCTAACGTTGTCGTCCAATCAATCAAAGAGTGCTTCTTGTGCACATATTGCTTGAAAAATGAATGACTACTTTCAGCATGCTGACTGCTCAACATTCTGGCAGAAAAAACATGCTTACAAAATGTCGGAACCCATTATGCATGCAAGTCATAAATGTCTTGAAGTCACGTTTTATCAACTAACTCACGTTCTTCTACCAACCCCTTTCACCTTGTCTCAAGTTCTTCTTTGCTTTCGATATCCCATATGCAATCAAGCAAATCCTTGAAAATGCCCCCAGCCCAACTTTGGTCATTGAATTTGTTACTAATATGCCATATTCAGTACTAATGAAATGTGATCGGTAGTTTGTTGCCAATAGCCTTTGCTATGGCTTCATCTTGATCTGTAACTATGACTTTCGATGGCTTACCCAGCGTAACCTTAAGCATTTCTTCAAACAACCACTCAAAGCTCTCAATTTTTTCATTTTTCAAGAATGTACAACGGAATACCATGGTTTAACTGTGGTTATTAACTCCTAACAAAGGAGCAAACATTATCCTATAGAAATTGGTGTTGAAAGTGGTGTCAAACACAATCATATTACCAAAAAGACCGTAACCACGTCTTGACTTAGCAGCTTCCCAAAAGAAATTCCCAAGTGCCTTCGTCAATCTCCATCTTGAAATATAATAAATAGTTTTTTCTTCTCATCCTCAAAATGCTCTTTCAACATTTCAGCACCATGCCCGATTAGATGGGCTCGCAATTGTTGTTCCGCATTATACATCTCTTTGGGGCTACAACCAATATTTCCAATTCCTCAACTTTGCACCTCCAACAAAGCCATTTGTTTACTTATGGAAATATTGGCCTCCATGCATTGTTCAATCATCGTCTTCTTTGCCTCCGAAACTCGATTGTGAGATCTAAATAAGTGTGACGCACTTGACATAGGGTAGTTGTGTCCTTCAATGAAAACCATTACAACAAACTTTTCACAACCACTTCCCCTATTCAACGCAAGTTTCGCCTTGCACTGAGTTCTAGCATCTCCCATTTTTCCTTTCTTATTAGTTTTGGGATTACCATCATCCCTCTTATTCCCTTGTTTGCAACAAACAAATTCTTTCCTTAACCAACATTCACCATCAATGGACTTTCTACTACTATGCTCCCTAATCCCGAACCCCGCTGCAAGTGCATACTTGTTGTAAAACATATACCTTTCATCTAACCAATCAAACTCCATTCTCAATTTCGGTTTCAACTCTTCATCTACTCTTTGTACCAAAATTCAACCCTCCCTACACCTAATTCATCCCCTGCACCTACATCCTCTATGTCGATGACAATTTCTTCTACTTCTACCTCACCCCCCTCATCGAATTATACTTCAATGTCTACCTGAAATAAAGTTACACAAGCACAACACAACTTATCACAAGACAACACAACATTTACACCTATATATCTAAAATCCACTTTCACAATTTCAACCAAATCCACTGATAACCACCAACCACTATGGTTTCAAATCCCAGGTTTTATAAAAAAACCATACTCCAATGAAAATGCATTATAACATAGGTTCTGCAATTATTCAAACACCCATTTTCATAATCTGGGTTTCTTCTGAGGTTGTGGATGAACCAATCGTGTCAACTTCAATCGAAGCACAACTTCAATCCTCTATAAATCGAGCGCGCGCACACCTTTCAACATTTCCCTCTCTATGCCCCTCTTCCCCAGCGGAGAAAACCCTAATCCACCCTTTTTTCTGCGTCACAAACCCACCAAGTGAACAAATTTTTTTTAAAGCTATAGGATTACCGAGTCGCAGCCGCAACCCAACTTCGATCCACCACAAATCCATTCCAAACTCCAACTCCCTATGTCTGCCTCTCTTCCCCTCTTTTCCCTCTTCAACACGAGCAACAGGCAACTCATATTTCCTGCTTGCCCCTTGTTTCCCTCCATCAGACAAAAACATGTAAACTAAATAAAAAAATTTTAAATTTTCCAAATGCAAGGGGTCATAACGACCCGGTTTTACTCGTGAGCTCGTCCATTTTCAGCCGTTAGATCCTTGTTCGCACGGATTATCCGCACACTTCGTATGCACCTTAGACACGCCCTATATTTGTTTGTGTATTTGTAGTTGACCCACTAAACATATAGCGTAAACTAAATAGGAAGTCAACAACACTGAATTAGAACCAACCTCCTCATCCTTCTATTTTCTTCTATCAGTCTTGTCTTTCATCTTTTTTCTTCTTGTGTGTTACTCTATTGTGTGTATCAAATGCTCAATGAAATATCTCAATTGACAAGCTTTGATAGTCTTTAGCATTACTCAATAATTTCTTACAACTGTTCCAACAAGCCTCTACAGATCACAATAGTTATCAGCATACGTGGGCATAAGTTTATGGTCCAATGAAGTTTTTTTTTCTTTCAAAATCATGGCTCCTATAGATGGTTTATAATTTTAGCTTCGCCATTAACATGCATGCAAACTTGTTCTTGGAATTGAACGAGAGTTGGTTGTTGAAGAATCAGCAGCACCCTCTGCAGATCATCATTAACGGTTGAACACGTGTCCAAATTGTTGATTTTTAAATCACAACTTGAACATATGTCCAGCCGTGTTGATGACCAGCAGGGAGTGCTGCTGCTGATTCTTTGAGCAAAGTTCTCTCCCTTGGAATTTCTCAACCACTAACCAGCACAGTATAATATCTACAGTCAAGGATAACGTGGTTCCAACAATGCTACTGTCGGTGGAACCGTGGAAGGATCCGGAGCCGATGTAAGATCGTAGAAATATACCACCACGTGTCCTTATGTTATACGTCAACGTCATGCCAGCCTGGCAATCGTTGGATTGTGTAGCAGATTGCCAACACTTTGACCTGGATCACTCACACCTTCTTCCCGCTAAACCACCCTCCTTTGTTCCCAAAACCACAAAACTACCCCTCGTACGTGCCGACAGGTTCCTGGCACACGGTCGTTAGAATCAACGGTCATGTCCACAGTCAATCCATTGTTCTTCTCAGCAGTCAACGATTTGACGGCAGTGATGACTGACCACTGTTAACATCCGTGGACGTGCATGCAGGCAAGGATTTTTTGGGGGAGGGTGAGCAGGTCCCATATATTTTTTGGGTCCCACAAATAGCAGACTTTTCAACGTGCGGTAGCTGATTCTATGCGTGCGGAGAGTGCTGAGCCTTGATTTCTGACGAGGAAGATGCCTAATACCACGTGATCTGCCGCTAACACTCCTTCTTTAACAATTTTTAATGAATTAATGTTTTTCGTAAGTTTGGCTCCTCATGACATTGTATTGTTAGATAAGAACGCGACATAACAAAAAGCTTGTTCACATAAGTTGCTTTTCTTTGTGATGGGCTTAGTATCTAGTTGTGACTAATCTTGTTGTAATGATGTAACTTCGTTGGAAACGCTTGAAATATTCTGTTTGTAAAATAAAAATATTAAAATTTGTATGGTTTGGAAGTAAGAATGTATGCTCCAAAGACCAAAAAACTTAAATGCATGCCATGTGCTAATGCTAACGTAACAAAGAAATTTACCCTGCCGAGAATCTAATCAAACTCATGAGATTATCAATAATAATTGAATTCATCTACTTGCAATTACAAATAACGTATCTTTTTGTGGAAGTTTTAAAATTAGAATCATTTAATTTCTTAATGTTCATTTGAAGATCATTTTTATAAAAAATCGTTCGAATAAAAAATTGTTTAGTTATCCACAATGTAACAAATAAATTGGTTGTTCATCATTAATATGTTATTGATTTGGACTTACACTATCAATTTATTGATATATTTGGATGACTATACAATCTTTTATTTGAAGATTTTTTTTAAAGAATATCTACAAATAAAGGTTAAGAAATTGAGGGCTTTATTTATAAAAAATTTCACAATAAATATACATTATTTGTAAAGGAATTGTTATTGGCACTTTAAAAATCTCATTTGTACTCCAAACTTTTATAATTATAAAACAAAATACATTTGTAAAAAGTATAAAATAAGATTTTTAAAGTGCTAATAACAATTTTAATTTGCAAATAGTGAAATGTGCTTACTTTTTTTTTTTTTAACAAACGATAGTTTCTACTCTAAGAGAGTGGGGGAGAGAGCTAAGCCTTACAATGGGCTTCCCATAGTAACGTGGTTCAACTTCGTCTTTGACGAGAATTGAACATAAAACTTCTTAATTACAAATGAAAATGAATACTACTAAATCGTAGTACTAAGTGATAGTGAAATCAGCTTATTTGAAACTCAAATAAAAATAAAAAGTTAGATGGTTTGATGTTACAACATACACTAAAGGCCTAATTATTGCTCCCTTTTTATACAAAACTTGAAATCTGAGATACCAAAACCTCACCAAATCCCTATTTCTCCATCAAATTTATATAAAACCAAATACAAACGCCAAACTTTTTCCCCCACTTTCCTCATCCTCTTCTTCTAGACATAACTAAAGAACAAAACAACCCAACACAAGAAAGGCAAGGTTATTCATGGGAAGGGACCCACCTGATGACACTTCACTCAATTTTTTTTTTTTGTTTTTGTTTTTTGCCACTTTTACGATTTAATTATATTTCTCTTTTACATATAAGTGAGAGTTCTTAGATTTGATTATCACAAAAAACGAATTTAATCATATTATTTTTAAATAATATCGTTTGTTAAAAAAAAAAAAATTCAAACGACAAAATCACCAACACAGGCTTCACTTGTAATATATCTCACATCCAAGCCCCATTCTTATAAACCTCCCTCTACCTTCCCCCACTCACTCTCACTCTCACTCTCTCACTTTACAACAAGCTAACCCACAATCACAAGCTCCGCAACGTCTCTCTCCCCCTCCCTCTAGAACCCTCTCACACTCTCTCTCGAACCCCAACCCCCCAAAATCCCCAGATCCAAAACCCACACAATGCAGCTCCGCCGGGCCACCACTGCCGGCGCCTTCCTCCTCACGCTCACCCTCCTCACCACCCTCACCGAAGCGCACAACATCACGCGCCTCCTCGCGAAGCACCCCGAGTTCTCGACCTTCAACCACTACCTCACCCTGACCCACCTTGCCGCCGACATCAATGACCGCACCACCATCACCGTCTGCGCCGTCGACAACTCCGCCATGTCGGCCCTTCTCTCCAAACACCTCTCCATCTACTCCATCAAAAACATTCTGTCCCTCCACGTCCTCCTAGACTACTTCGGCGCCAAGAAGCTCCATCAGATCACCAACGGCACTGCCCTCGCCGCCACCATGTACCAGGCCACCGGCTCCGCCGCGGGCTCCTCCGGCTTCGTCAACATCACCGACTTAAAGGGTGGAAAGGTCGGTTTCAGCCCCGAGGCCAACGACGGCACCTTCCCTTCCCATTTCGTCAAATCCGTCGAAGAGGTTCCGTACAACATCTCTATCATTCAGATCAGCACCCTCCTCCCCAACCAGGCCGCCGAGGCCCCCACCCCGGCCCCCGCTGAGCTGAACATCACCGGAATCATGTCCGCCCACGGCTGCAAGGTCTTCGCCGACACGCTCCTTGCAAACTCCGACGCCTTCAAGATCTACGAGGACAATCTCAACGGCGGGCTGACCGTTTTCTGTCCGATGGACGACGCACTCAAGGCCTTCTTGCCGAAATTCAAGAACCTGACTGCGGCCGGGAAGGCTGCGCTGCTCGAGTACCACGGCATTCCGGTCTACCAATCCATGTCGATGTTGAAGTCCAACAATGGACTGATGAACACTCTGGCCACCGACGGCGCGAGTAAGTTTGACTTCACCATCCAAAACGACGGGCAGCAGGTCACTCTAAGGACCAAGCTCGTCACGGCGAGGATCACGGGGACACTCATCGACGAGCAGCCCGTCGCTATCTACACCATTGACAAGGTCTTGCAGCCTAAGGAGCTTTTCAAGGGGGCTTTGACTCCCGCACCGGCTCCGGCCCCGGAGAAACCGGCCCACGCGCCGAAGAAGTCGAAGCATGCGCCCTCACCCGTCGCCGACCAGGAGGCCGATTCGCCCGCTGCGTCGCCGGATGAGGACCCGGCGGATCAGACCGCAGATGACAGTAACGGAGCCGTGAGGGTTGAAAGGATGGGGTTTGGGGGTTTGGTTTTTACCAGTGTGTGGTTAGTATTTTCATTGCTGTAAGTTTTTGGTTTAGTTTTAATTTTTACAGACTTGTTATTTACTGGGTAATAAGTGAGAGATCAATTCGAGGTAAATCTCTTTTTCTTTTCTCTTTTTATCTAATTGTTTTTGTGTGAGTGTGATTTTTTTTTTTTTTTTTGTTGATGGGGGAAATTTGTAACATTGTGATATTTGTTTGTTGGTGGAAGTTTGATTAGTACTTTGGTAGAGACCATTTATTTATTATACAATTGTCACATGTTACTTTCTTTTAGTGAGATATTCTTGTATTTTTTTGTGCTGTTTTAAAATGGTTGTCTATTTTTTTCTTATATAAGAATATTCGGAGGCAATTTGGTATGAAGACCCTCTAAACCAGTGGCCAATTTAACATTCTAACATCGCGTGATCCTAATTAAGTACGTTAGGTTTTAGTCAGGTGGTGGCGAGCTGGGAACTAATGTCTATATTACTAGATGAACTCTTTTGATCGTCACACAATATGGTAAATCACGTGTTTTTATATAAATAGTATGATATGTGTATTAAAAGATTAATAACTTAAAAATTAAAATTTTCCATCACTTACATAAAAATACGTGGTGTATCATTTGTATTTCCGTTACAACTAAAAATTTATCCTAGGCAAGGGTCTAAGCAAATTTAAATAAATTAATTATCACATAAATAAATGTTTAATTATACTTGAAAAATATACTATTACACTTGTATTGACAGTTTCGATTTATTATTTTATAAAAATATTAGAATTTTTGTTTTAGTATTTTAGTGAATTTGATAGTACAAGATGAAAATTCAATTGATTACGAGTTTGTAGTATTTTACAAAAGATTTTTAAAGTTTGAAAAGTTTTTTATTAGGATGTGCTATCCACACACCCCATTTTACTTCTCACACACTTCCTGATAATTTTTGTCTGTTGATCTTCTTCAATTTATCCGATCCGACGGCCGAAAATTAAGAAGGTGTGTGAGAAGTAAAATGGGATGTGTGGATATCACATTCCTTTTTATTTACCTATTGACTCAATTTGCAACCAACTCCAAGCTTTTAAAATCCCACATACAGTACAGTAATCCAAAATAAAGGAAGTCTTAAGGGAAGGGATTCTCATTTTTTTTATTTATAAAAATGGGAATTAGTTGTAGAGTTCACACTACATCGAACTTTAACGATTCAAATCGTCGATTTTTCAAATTGTACCTCATAGATCATCTTTGCAAAATATTAGCCAAATCGGAAATATTTAAGACATCTAATTGGGTTCAAAGAAATGAACGAATACTTTATTATATAAGAAACAATGAAATTTTTTTTTTGGATAAAAGAAACAATGAAATTTGATCTTGATAATTAAATAAGAAAATAGTTTCTGATTGAATTGAATTTTTGCAATGATGATCAATTAATCGAGACTTACAAAATAGACAGTTCAAATCGTTGAAATTCGATGTAGAGTGGGCTCCACACATAATCCCTATTTTTTTTCTAAAAATGAGAATCCCTTTGCATAAAGGACCGGCCAAAGTGGATATCAACATTTGATAAAGGTCAAGAAGAATAACTCCAGCCCACTTGAAGAACTCAAAATCTAAATCTACTCTTATCAGTGGTCTTCTCTCTTCCATCACCTGCTCAGACCTTTGAGCGGTCCTCGGAGGTTCTCACATACGCTTCTTTAGACTTATGGGTGGTCTCGGGACCATCTGGTCCATGAACGGATCCGCCTTTGCCCCGAACCATATTGCAGATGTATTGATTGAGGATAATCTAAGTTATTAATGTATTTAGTATTGAGTTTGACATTCTTTAAATCATCAAAACAAATTGTATTTTCTCATTGCAAAAACGTTATACCGAAATGGTTCCCTAGTAAAAGATAAACAAACAACTTATACTTTAGCATATACTTGAAGTGTAATGTAGGTCAGAAACACAGGTGATTATAGTTTACTTGGTTATTAACATAGCATTGTGTCTTGTTCAAGTCAACAACAAAGAAGAAAAAGTGGTTTGTACGTTCGAATTGTTTTCATTTCTTTTTGGAAATTGTTATTTGTACTTTGAAAATTTACTTGTGCATATGTAATGCTAGGGAGACTATTAATTTAAAGTATATTTTGTAAACCATATATTATAGTTGTTGATGATTGAATTATTACTTAAGTATTGATTAAACTGCTTATTTTCTAATGCTAAGAAGGCTAGCTTTTTAAACTAAATTTGTAAACTATATGATGTGTCCCCAATAAGAAGTAAGCATGTTAATAAACACTTAGTAGTAATCCAATCATCAACAACCACATCATTTGTTTTACAAAATTTGGTTTAAAATGTTAATCTCCCTAGCATTACTCATTTCTATTAGTGACACATCACATAGTTTAAAAGTGTGGTCTAAAAAATTGGTCTAGCTAGCATTACTTATTATGCACTCCAAACTTTCTAGATTCCATATGAAACTCCATTGGAGGTGAGTTTTGTAGGAAAAGGGGCCAAATTGGACCATTTAGGTTATCGTTGAAGATCAACATGTCCTTATAAGCACATCAATGTCCTTTATTTACTCGATGGTGGGAGTGATACTCTCAACATTATATCATTTGTACCCCTTCGTCTATTGTAGAGGGTTTCAATCATAACTAGATCCTAAAATTGACATATCTCATCAAGATGGTGCCTAAAATTGAAATCGATTTTCTATTTCAAGGCTCATCTTAATGGAGTGGGTCAACTTCAGGAATTACTTGTGATTAAAACCTATTATATATTGTTAACGTTCAAAACTTGCATGTTAAGAAATTAAAACAATAAACCCTTGGTGGATTTGGGATATGGACTAAAATGAAATAGGCTCAAAGATTTAAATGGTTCACTCTGCAAAATTGGGCCACATCCATTGTGTTGCTCGGATTATGTTGATTTCAAGTCTAAAAAGTGCTCTAGGCTAATAAATGAACTCGCTCTCTTTTTCTAGTCATTCGACACCAATACAAGAGGCTCCCATTCTTTTATGTAGGCCCTCAATGAAACCGTCAACATTGGGTCTTCCCAACTTGGCATTTAATGTCCACCAACGCAAACTAGCATGTTGACACATTTTCACCTACCAACCAAACATTCAGCAGTGGAGTAACCTATTTTAGTCAAGAAGGCACATATTTCCATAATGATATGGGTTGAGCATCTCGCTCGGCCTTGGTTATCCAACCCCTCATCTCTAAGAACCATTCCAACCACCTTTACGTCCCATCCTGAGTCTCTGCTAATGATTGTGAGTCATAACATGGCTTAATTGGCATCTAGGTAGATATGTCATTGGAGACTTGTGTCATAAAGCTGTCAGTCCGCCCATGTTCCCTTAGCAGTCGAAAAGCTCTTCATGTATCTTGGTTGGAAGGAGCAAGAGGCAGTCGACTTTAGTACTTGTGATCATCGTCCTCTTTAAGCTCCTTAGACCTTGGGCTTTTCAATCTCCTTTGGATTTTCGTGGCTTCTTTCTCAGATTGCGTCATTATATGAGCCTAAAGTGCCCAACATTAACATATATTGTCTTACTTCATCCTGTGCACACATCTTCTATGTCTAGTATTTTCATTGCGTCAACTGAGTTGAGAAAACTTGTAACATCCCACATCGCCCAGAGGAGTGATCCTTAAATGTATATTGCCATCCCTACCTAGCACGAGGTCTTTTAGGAGCTCACTGGCTTCGGGTTCCATAGGAACTCCGAAGTTAAGCGAGAAGGAGGCCAAAGCACTCACAGGATGGGTGACCCATTGGGAAGTTGCTCGTGAGTTCCCAAAAACAAAACCGTGAGGGCGTAGTTAGGGCCCAAAGCGAACAATATTATGCTACAGTGGTGGAGTGGGCCCGGGAAGTTGTCCGTCCTGGGTCCAATCTGACATGCCTCGATCCCGATATTTCCCGATTACCAAGAAAGGCACGTGCTGGCCGACACCCGAGGATGACGAAAGCCATTTATTGAGTGCAATTGCTGAAAATAAAGGATAACTAAGACTTATAAATATAAAAGAATAAAGAATAAGCATTTAAGGAACATGTTCAGAGTATACAACTAACTAGAACACTAAAGGAAATAATATAAAATTAGATGAACAAGGAGTGGGTCTTACACCGAGAGGACTCGAAGATGCCGACGCAGTAGTGCCTTGATGCCGGGATTGTATGCCTCGATTCTAAGTCCTGAAGGGGGCGCAAAACAAACATGAGTGGACCAATTTGATATATATAATAAAACAGTTATCAACGTACTAACCCCCAGGTTTTATGAAAACACATATATATCATGATAAACATAGGTTTTCCGAAACCTAGCATGCCGTGCAATGTCTCAAACCATAACTTGTATATATAATAATCACTAGTGAATTGTTCGATAACCCCCAGGCCCCATGCCGGCGCCCCGTCTCTGAGCAGACAGTCAGAGGAAAATACATTTCAGGCCCCATGCCGGCTCCCCGTCCCTGTGCTAAATAGCCAGAGGAAACACACTCCAGGCCTTATGCCAACACCAAACCGTCGCCCGGGACGGACCAGAATCTATCCTTACGTCCCGTAGCGGAAAGGACCACTAGGTAAGTACAAAACCATTGAACATATATATATATATATATATATATATTGAAAAAAAAACTTCATAGTATAAAGTCATCCATCATCTATACTATAAAGAGGTGTTCGAAACATGTTCTAAATATCATATCATCATCCATCAGATATTCTATAAGAACATGGGTTATAGGAAAAATAGTAGTAATTCAATCTAGCCTTAGTAAGCATGTTATCTCAAAGCGTTTCATAAAACGTAATCATTAAATCATGCCTTTCATGTATGCATTTCTACTATTAAAACATTCATTTTTAGAAAGGGTCCACTCATAGTACTTTGCCGTCAAAAAGTCACGCAGCTAGCAAAGACAGAAACACTACTATAATTGCCCCTAAACACATAAAGAGTGCAATAAATAAAACTATATAATAGCAATTGAATTTGGGGGAACGGACGTCAGAAATGGATTCAAGACGTCGAATTATCCTAAGAAGGGTTATGGATAAATTTCGTAAAAGTCAACAGAATATCCCTAGAATATTCCAGAGAATATTCCCTGATGGAATATTCCACATAAAGGGTTTGGGTTTAGCTAATTAGGTGGGCTAGGTTTAGAAGAGAAGGCTTAGGGCCCAGGTTAAAAAGGCATGAAGGCCTTAAGCCTAAGGGTTTTGGGTTTTTAGATAAAAAGGCTTAGGG